ACAGAAGTACTAGACTTCTTGAGAACTTTCTTTTATAACCTGATTACCATGAATAATTCTAGTTTTTAGTTTAAAAAAAGGCCCAGTGTCTCCGAATATAACTAAGAAATTAGCAAACATCTCCAGGTTACTTTTTAGTTTTTCCCCCATTGCTTTTTTTTTTAAGATTTTATTTATTTATTTAATTTATTTAGAGAGAGCATGCACAAGTGGGGGAGGGGCGGAGGGAGAGAGAGAATCCCAAGCAGACTCCCTGCTGAGCATGGAGCCCAACACGGGGCGCAGTCCCAGGACCCTGATATCATGACCTGAGCCAAAATCAAGAGTTGGCCGCTTAACTGACTAAGCCATCCAGGCACCCCTCTCCAGATATTTAACATCTAACAACTGGAAAATCATCCTAATGTTCTTATTCTGTTGGACCAAAATACTTTACCGTCACCTATGAGAACATTTTTTTTTTTTGAGAACATTTTTTAATAAGAAATATCTTAAAGTTTTGATGAGATGGCATTCCCTAGGGTTGTGCAGTACACAACCTGGCCATCTGTACTGAGCTGCTCTGATTGGGTTGTGTCACGCAGTGAAGTATTCCCCCGGCAGCAGCACAGTGGCTAACAGGCCACAAGTATCACTAATGCAGCTTTCAGGTTGGTTTGCACACTTCCATAGAGCCAGCTGTTAAGGAGACAACAATTCAAGCCAAATAGATTCAGATAGTTTCTTAGCTACACAGATGTAAGGTCAGCCTGGGTCAGTTCCTCGTGTCCCTAGTCCCACAGGATGATGCCAAACCAGAGGGGACCAAATGACAGGTACCATGGGCACTTGGCTCTGCCCCTGAGGAGACAACTCCAAACTCAAGCCAGTTTTATAGCCTGCAACCATATCCTTCAGGGGATTGAAAGGCCTGTGCTTGCTTGAGATGAAGGAAAGCAATGAGAAATGGCCTACGGCAATTTCCCTGAAGATAGGGGAGGTGGGTGAACAATGACCTTGAAGTAGTTCCTCCCAAGTCAGCTTATCTCCCTTAGTTTCAGAAGGAATCACAGAGCATTCCACCAAAATTTGGTCAGACTGTGGTGAAGCTTTGCCTAAGTGGCCCATGTGGACACGTGTGTGTCACCAAGGTGGCAGGGTGGAGCTATTCCTCTAAGACGATGAAATATGGCTACATTCAGGCATTTTTGGCAGCTCACTGGACAAGAAAGACCAGGAGGAAGGAAGTAAAGAGCCTAAAATAAATAGATCTTATTGACATACTAACTGCAAGGGACAGGAATTGATTCAGAGAAGCATTTGTGTAGTTGGTTACCAGAAGTTCCCAGCACTCTACGTTGCTCCTTGCTGGGGGTCAGGGGGAAAAATGACTTTGGCAAGAAAGGGGATGGAAGGCTGACACCAAAACAGAAGCCTAACAACCCTTCTGCTTGTTCCTTAAAGGTCTTCCACTTCAGCATGATGATACTGCCCAAAAAAATGCGGCCACTGCTGTTTCTGGTTTCCCAGATGGCCATCTTTGCTCTCTTCTTCCATCTGTATGGCCACAACTTCAACTCCCTGTCCACGAAGGAGGAGCCCAAGCCCATGCATGTGCTGGTCCTGTCTTCCTGGCGCTCTGGTTCTTCTTTTGTGGGACAGCTTTTTGGGCAGCACCCGGATGTCTTCTACCTGATGGAGCCCGCGTGGCACATCTGGATGACCTTCACACACAGCACTGCCTGGAGGCTGCATATGGCAGTGAGGGATCTGATCCGTGCCATTTTTCTGTGTGACATGAGTGTCTTTGATGCCTACATGAAACCCAGTCCTCGAAGACAGTCCAGCCTCTTCCAGTGGGAGAACAGCCGGGCCCTGTGTTCCCCACCTGCCTGCAACATCTTCTCCCGGGATATGATCATACCCCAGGCTCACTGCAAGCTTCTGTGCAGTAAACAGCCCTTTGAGGTGGTAGAGAAGGCCTGTCGCTCCTATAGCCACGTGGTGCTCAAGGAGGTGCGCTTCTTCAACCTGCAGGTGCTCTACCCACTGCTGAGAGACCCTTCCCTCAATCTGCACATTGTGCACCTGGTACGGGATCCCCGGGCGGTGTTCCGTTCTCGAGAACACACCATACGGGAACTCATGATTGACAGCCGCATTGTGATGGGGCAGCATTGGGAGAAAATCAAGGAGAAGGATCAGCCTTACTACGTGATGCAGGTCATCTGCCAAAGCCAGCTGGAGATCTATAAGGCTGTGCAGTCCTTGCCCAAAGCCCTGAGGCAACGCTACATGCTTGTTCGCTATGAGGACCTGGTCCAGGACCCCATTGCCCAGACTGCCCAAATGTATAAATATGTGGGACTGAAATTCTTGCCCCACCTCCAGACCTGGGTGTACAACAGCACTCGAGGCAAGGGCATGGGTCATCATGCCTTCCACACTAATGCCAGGAATGCCCTCAACGTCTCCCAGGCCTGGCGCTGGACCTTGCCTTATGGAAACGTTTCTCGACTTCAAAAAGTCTGCAATGATACCATGACTTTGCTGGGCTACCACCTTGTCAGATCTGAGCAAGAGCAGAAAAACCTGTCACTGGATCTTCTGTCTACATGGACTCCCTCCAACTAAGTCCGCCAAGAGGGTAGAAGAAGCTCTGTCCCCAACTGGCATCAGCCTCAGCCCCATTAACCAAAAGCTTCTGAGTCTTTTTTTTTTTTTTTTTTTTTTTTAATCCATGAGAGACAGAGACAGAGAGAGAGAGAGAGAGAAGGAGCGGGAGAAGCAGGCTCCCAAGGAGCAGGGAGCCTGATGCGGGACTCGATCCCAGGACCCCGGGACCATGACCTGAGCCAAAGGCAGACACTTAACCATCTGAGCCACCCAGGCGCCCCCAAAAGCTTCTGAGTCTTAATTACATGTACACTGGTGTACATGTGAGCATGAGTTGTGCCCACACATGCTCAAGCTGAGAAACTTCCATGTTTCTGCTCATGCCTAGAAGAGATTCAGCAGCATATTCCACCCTGAAAAAGGAGTATTGCCTTTCTTCTCTTCTTGGCTTTCCTATCCGGGTATACCTCAAAGACTTTGTGGCCTGGGGTCCTATTTAGCACCACGCAGTATCAGTGGAGTAAATCCATAAACTTCTCTGTCCACATCTTGCCCGGTGGGAAAGGGAGGAGACAGGAAAACCGGGGAAATGGGTCTTCCACCAAAGAACCCACCAGCACATTCCACAGGGATATGAACTCTGAGACCATGGAACTCCTGATGGATTCAAAAAGGGAACAGAGAACAGGATTGGATGCTTATGGTGAGCTTGGCCGTCACAGCTATCAGTTATCACAAATACAAAATAAGATCTCTGCACGACAGAGCAAGCTCTTAAATTCATGGGGGTGGCTGGGCCTGATGTGGACATCATTTCCCACCAGTGTTTTCCTATCACATAGAAGACTTTGACTTGTGAAGCTGCCATCCGTTAACACTAAAATTCCAAATAGGATTCTGTTAGGAGTTTCCCATGTTATGCTTTCTAATTACTTAGCAGTAAATACTAATTCTTAGAGGACCCTAACCTGATAGCATAAGCATCTTTATAGATTTTTTTATACTTTTACTATTATGTGTTACCCATAAAAAAAAAATTCTAAGACAATATTTGGTGTTAGAATATGAACTGAGTCTAAACTGATCAATACTGACCATCATACTGTGCTCTTAAGAATCTGTAGGAAGTAGGCAACTAGCAACTAAGCCCTTTCTTTCTTGTGTGAGGTGTGAGTTGTGATAATATTGTATATATCACCCTAGGGTCTGGGCAAAGGGTTCTTTTAATGTGATCGTCGGCCAGAGGACCTCAGGTCTAGTATGGCTGGCGCTGTTCAGCTCTTCTGGGTCACCTCTCCACATGATAGAGGTTGTTGCTCCCAGTCTTTGCAGCACTCCCCGGGTCTTGTGATACATCCGAATCTACTGTTAGAAATTCATTTTGCCATGCCACACCTCAGATCTGCTGGAATTGGAATCCACCAGGGTGGGAGCTGGGATTCTGTATGTTGATCAAGCAACCCTGGTGATCCTTTCATGGCCAGCCTGGCAATACCACACCCTCCACTGGGGAGCAGCACAGTTTGCCTTCCTGCTTCAAGACAATTGCCTTTGCAGCACATGCCAAGTATCCACACTGCTGACTCCTGACACTGGTGCTGTCCTTGGGTTGGAAGGAACAGGAAGAAGGTCTATATTTGTCGGGAACTCCAGGGACCTCTGAGTCCTGACTTGCTTAATATTTCGCTTTGTCCAAACCTGAAAGATGCCAACACTTCATCTTCCCTTTGGTTCCCACTCCCACTTCGGACGTGGTCCTCACCTCATAAAGTGCCATCGATGGCAGATGGGAATTCTCACGCCTGATTCTGCCGAGGAGCTCTTGGGCTCTGGCACCACCTGAGATGCGTGAGTGGTTACCTTTGCCAGCTGGGTCTAGCAAAGTTAATCTATATGTGGCTCTAAAGGAGTGAACTTATTCTAACATGTAAACCTAAGCCACTCTAGAAAGACCTCAAAAGCCTAGCAAGAATCTCCCAAGCAAATGCTTCTTGCCTCTACGAACCTTCCAAAACTGTAAAAAGTTTCCCCAACATTGAACATAAGGCCAGGGCAGTAGGTGATGGTGCAGAGTTAAGAAGACCAGTGAGGGGGACAGGCAGTGACAGACTCAACTGCCTCTGATGTCCCCTCTGAAATTCCAGCCTCCACCTGAATTGTCTTAATGTTAGCAACTTCCTTAGGAACCATCTCTATGGGATGCTGGAGTACAGAGCGGCTTGCTTCTCCTTCTCCAAAGGAGTCGTTCTGTGCTCATGAGCGCATGGGCTCTGGAACCATGCTGCCTGGGTGACCTCCAGCAAGTCCCTTAATATCTCCATGTCTCAGTTCCCTCAACTGTAGGGTGGGTAGAATAATGGTGGCACTGACTTCCTGGAGTTGCTGGGAGGGCTGATGAGTTAATAAATGGAACATGCGTGGCAAGCATCCGGCACATAAGCAAACACTCACTAAGTGGTAGCTGTGATTATCTTGGTAACAACGCTGGTTTTAGCTCTCTCAAGGACTGTCTTCCATCATTTCTGGTAACATCCTCATTAAGGTGATGCTCAACAGCAGATCACAAGCCCTTTGTGGCGTTTCTGATCATACTGGTACAATTAGATTTATAGCCATCTCTAATGGCTCTAGTTTATATCAGTTGTTCTCAACCCAAGGTGATTTTGTTCCCCAGGGGACTTTGGTCAATGTGTAGAAACATTTTTGGTTGTCACCACTGGTGGAGTGGGTGTTGCTGGCATCTAGTGGGGAGTGGCCTGGGATGCTGCTAAACCTCCTACAATGTACAGAAAAGCCCTCACCCGCGCCCCCAACAAAAATTCTCTGGTCCAAAATGTCAATATCACAGCTGTTAAGAAACCCTAGTCTGCATTCATCAGATGCTGAATGCATGCAAGATGAAGAGCTGATGATTCGAACAGATTTCTCTTCTCTCCTCATTCAGTCACATTCAATCTTACTCAAATAGTACACCCCCAGGCCAAGTGTCCTGACTGGGAAGATGTCACAACCCCCCAGGGCTCTTCTGGCACCCACTCAAGTCATCTCAAACGGAGCAAGCTGTGCGGCAGACATTATAAAAATACAGAGCAGCATCACAGGGCCTGATGAGAGGAAGTGAACAAAGCCAGGCTTCCTGGGACCAGTCATGCACTGGCCATAACTGGTCTTGGCTTATATCCACCCTAATCCGGTCAGCTGTGGCCAGAAGAGAAGAGCTTAATGGGGGCAAAACATAGTCATTTAGGGCCTTGGGGAATATGGGCAGGACAAATGAAGCCAGAAGCAGACACTGTGTTAGACAAATGAGCTGTCTAACATGGGTCTGGGAACAAAATCACTCACAAATGTCAACACATTCCACAGGCACTACAGGATTTAAACCGTGGCTCCCCAATCTTTTTTCCATTATTACCTCCCCCCCTCAGCAAGCCTATGGTAGACATTTTTGTTCTAATCATCCTCTACCATGAACTATTAATACCACAAATATACTGCATATTTTTACGCAGTTTTTAATGGCCCTCCAAAGGGCCACAAATCATTGTTATACCTACGTTTTTTGCCCCCCACAAACCACTTTTTACCCCGCTGGTGGCAACAGCAGTTCCACTGAGAATGCATGATCTAGGCCACTGTCCCTGACACTTAGCTCCCTCCCCAGCTCCTCTCTATTTTCGTTAACACGTCTTTTGTCGTCCCCCCCCAAACTATGTTCCTTGCTCTCACCAATAAGATTTGTACCTTGTTCAACCATAATTAAATGTGATTATGCAAAATAACACGCTGTAAGCATCTATGAAAATGTTGCTTATAATAAATAATAGTAATAAATAATAATACAGGTGACTCTCATTGCCACCCTCCCTGCCAGCACTATTAGCTATTTGGGATGGCTGCTGGCCCTGTTTGCCTTGCCACATTTCAAGATTGCTTCTTATGGTCCTGGAAGAACACACTGTTTTTCAAGTTTATGAGAAGAATTGAGAACAAGTGGAACAGGCACATAGCACTGCTGTTCATGAAGAATGAGGTGTGTTTCAGAAGAAGTATGCTATTGTTCCACCCTAAATCAATATGGATTTAAATGGCTAATGATAGATAATGTAAACATGCTGGATGAAAGGGATAAAGGCTCCTGTCCTTTTAAATAGGGGTGTGGTGAACTCCTGATTACCTGACCAAACAATGAGATAAACCAAACGATGAGACTTTAACAGATGCAGTTTATACACACACACACACACACACACACACACAGCATTCTGAAAGCAAATAAGCTTGAAAAAGTTGACAAAACTAAATTTAACCAGATTTTCAAACTCAAGACCCTCAGAACTTCAAATATGTTCATGTGCATATTAAGGATGGAAAAGAGCAGAGAGCGTCTCTCCCAAACTTCTTTGACCAAGGAGGTTTTTTTTTTCCCCTCAGTATACCTATTAACATCTGTCAGGAGAATATTTCGAGAAAGACCAGTGTGAGAAACGCTGAGGTGTCTTCAGCAATCCTAACCCTGATGACCCCAACACTCTGGTTTCTTTTTGCCTCCTCCCGAACTCAGGCCGGCAAATGTGGAATGGAGGAGATTGCACGCAGGCAGTTAATACACAGGGACTTTATGATCGCCCACATCAATCTGTGATTACTTCACCACTCACCTATAACTCCCCCTCAGCATAAGAACTTTCCCCGGTAATCTTCTGGCCGCATACCTTCTCCTCCTCCCCAGAGAAAAAAGCCATCTGATACTGGACTTCTCCACTCATTCACTGCGAACGTCTGAAGCTCCCCGAGCATTCTGTCTTCCTCCTTATATTGTGTTACAAGATAGAGACTGTTCTGTCTCCTGTTGAAGGCCAGCCTCCCCACTATCAGAGCTTTGGATTCTATCCCCTCACCTTTTCAAGAACTGTGTATTTTTAGTATTCACTCCCTCTCGACTCAACTTCTCTTCAACTGAATCCTTCTCTCTGGATTTTTAGGTCAGTATACTCCCATCTTGAAAAAAATTCTCTCTCGTTCCCATATCCTTATCCAACTACAGATCTTCTTCCACTTACAATGGGGTTAAACCCATCCTAGGT